TGAGGGTCCAACAGTGCATCGGACTCTGAGCAGGGCCAGCGGTACCATGTCTGGCCAGTTTGCACCTGTTTCTTGGCAGTACTTAGCTAAGACAGTCTTGAGGGCTCCATTCATGCAGTCTTTTCCTGAACTTGTGCCCTGTAGTCTGTGTGAAGATTCCATTTAATCTTTAGCATGGCAGCTAAGTTCTGGACAGCTTCAGCCACACACGCAGGCCATTGTCACTCCTGATTGACAAGGGACGACCATAACGGAATGACTTCATGGAGGAGTTGAATGACTTCTCGGGCTTTTTCTTTTTGGTTGGTTTGGCTTCAACCCACCCAGAATAAGTGCGGGCTATGACTAATAGGTATTTGTGTGTAAAGCAGGGCTGCATTTCGGTAAAGTCTGTCTGTGAAGCTTCAATCAGGGATGTCCCTGGATTCCTGGGGTGGCAGCACTTCTGGAGAGGGTTGCCGTGGGCACAGGTCTTGCGTCTCTGACAGACTGGCACAGATCGAGGGGAGCCTTGCAATATAGTAGCATCTCTTTAAGGGATCTGCTTGCTTTGTATTTAACTAAGTGGGCCTTTTTATGGGTTTCTGCAACAAATGGGTGAGCCAGAATGAAGACTGGCATCTGGCAGTGCATAGAGGACTGACCCCATCCTGAGGGCCCCGTTCCTGAGCCCATAAATGCTCTTCTGGCGAGTAAAAGCCAGGACTGTCCTTTGCATCGGGGGTGTTTCTGCAGCAGTGGGAGGCAGCCCCGAGATGCAACCTTGTAGTCTCTAACGGAGGCCTTTCTTTAGTAAAAAGCCATTTGTCTGTAGGTCTGGTTTCTGGGTAGCCAATGTGACCGTCTAAAAACCTGCAGGGTGCGAGGACATTGGGTCTGTCTGGCAGCCTCTCTGGCTGTTTGATCGGCCAGTCGGTTTCCCTTTGTAATAAGATCTGTCCCTTTTGGTGTCCTCGACAGTGCACAATGGCTACCTTTTTGGGTTCCCAAATTGCCTCTAGGAGTTGGAGTGTCTCCTTTTTATTTTTAATTTCTTTGCCCCCAACTGTTAAAAGTCCTCTCGTTGTAAATTGCCCCATGGACGAGGCATACGTTGAGTCAGTATAAATGTCGACAGTCTTTCCTCAAGCCCATGGGAGGGCTGGGATGAGGGCCCCGAGCTCTGCTCCCTGTGCCAACGCCTCTAGGAAGGGGCTGCCTCGACCTGGTTGGTGGCAGTGACTGCACACCCTGCCAGTCGCTCCCCATCCAGCATGAAGCTGTGGCCCTCAGTGAACAGGGTGGCATCTGGTGGAGGCCTTGGCTCCGCAGTGAGGTCAGGTCGGCTGGAGAACAGCTGTCTGCAACTTCTTCATGTCATGGTCTGGCCGGGCCTCCTCAGCAGGCAGAGAGGTGGCCGGGTTCAAGACCCTCACAGTCTCTAAGGTGACTCGGATTTTCACAGAGTCACCCTTGATACTGGGCCATTCTGGAATTTGAAAGCCATTTGTGTCCTTGATTGTTCGTCAGTCATAACTGAGTGGGGGACTTTGCCTCTAAGGCTCTGTCCCAAGGTCAGTTTGTCTGCCTCTTTCATGAGAGTAACAGCTGCTGCCAGGGCACGGCAGCAGGGGGCCATCTGGCCACCACGGTGTCTAATTGTTTGGACAGGTAGCCACTGGCCTCTGCCAGGGCCCTACAGTTTGAGTTAGGACTCCTAGGGCTACATGGTCTTTTTCATGAACAAAGAGATTAAATTCTCGGCTTACATCCGGTAACCCTAAAGCAGGGATACTGATGAGTTTGATCTCTTGGAAAGCAGATTCCTGCTGATCATCCCTCTGTGAATAAAGGCTGGCTCTCTGGTCTGGTGAGGGCAGTGGGTGAAGGCAGCATAGAGGGGCTTGGCCTTCTCAGCAAATCCCAGAATCCAGATCCTGCAAAACCTGGCTGCCCCCAGGAATTCGTGGTTTTCTTTTGCTGGCTGGCCTGGGAAGGGAGCAGATAACTTGTTTTCTCTCGGGTCCTAGAGCTTGGTGTCCTTCAGTGATGATAAATCCCAAGTATTGAACAGAAGGCCGACATATCTGGGCCTTTTTCCAGGATACTTTGTAGGCAGTCTCTAGAAGCAACACGAGGAGGGCTGCTGTTCTCTGCCAACAGTCCTCTTTGGCTTTACTAGCCAACAAGAGATCATCCACATACTGTGGCAGGGCACAGTTCAGTTTTTCTCCTGGGAAAGCAGCTAGATCGGCAGCTAGAGCCTCTCTGAACAAAGTGGAGGAGTTTTTAAACCTGGTGGGAGTCTTGTCCAGGTGAGTTGTGTCTTTTGTCCAGTGTTAGAATCTTTCCATTTGAAGGAGAACAGTGGTTGGCTCTGAGGGGCCAATCATAGCCAGAAAAAGGCATCTTTGCGGTCTAGGCAAGCGAAGCCGGTGCCCCTGCCTCTGCTGAGAGCAGGCTCAGTGAGGAATATGGGTCAGGCACGACTGGGTGGATGGCCACCACAGTGCCACTGACAGCTCGGGGGTCTTGTACCAGCCACTGACTCCCGTCAGGCTCTCTGACAGGCAGCAGGGGAGTGTTCCAAGGGGATTGACAGTAAGGATTTTGGCCTTTCGGAGGCGGTCAGTATGGTGCTGGATGCCAAGACGTGCCTCGCGAGGCGTGGCATACTGTTTGAGTCTGACAGGAGTAGCTCCTGGCTTGAGGTCTAGTGTAATTGGGGCCCGATTTTTGGCTAGTCCAGGCGGGGACTTTTCAGCCCAGACTTCTGGAAAGGCCTGGAGGAGATCAGGAGGGTTTGCTTCTGTATGATCAGTGCTGTGTAGTCTCCATTCTTCTCCGGGACCACAACTGGTAAGAGGAAGCTGTCCTGATCACGGAGGGTCGGATGGGCTGGCCCTTCAGACATGAACGTGATTTGACTCCGGGTTTGGTTAACAGGTCTCCTCCCAGCAGAGGAACAGGACAGTCCGGCAGATGGAGGAGTCCGTGAACTATGTCACGTCCTCCCAGGCGGCAGGCTCGAGGCTGGCAGAGACTCGGTGGCCCCTATGATGGCAGCAGTTCTGTCGGTGAGGGTGCCACTGGAGTGGTCACAAAAGAACCGGCAGCTCCTGCGCCGGTCAGGAAAGTCACTGGTGAGCCCCCAACTGTCACGTTGACTGTGGGCTCCCGGGGGCTGAGACTGAGGCTGCCCCGTCTGCTAATCTGAGTCCCTTGCAGCAAGTCCGATCGGGTCTGGCACTGGAGGCTCCAGTGCGACCATCGGTCTTTTGTTTGAGCGTGGCCCCTCCACTCAGGGTGTTCATTTTCCCGTGTCCAGTTTCTCTGCAGCAGGCACATTCATCTGGACATAGGCGTGGTTGCTGGTTCCCCCTGCACGGTGGTCCTGGCTTTCTGGTCGGATCTGGTTGCCACACAGCTGTGAAGAGCGAGACCTTTTGTTTCATCTTTTTCTCTGCTTCTCGGGCTTCCCAGTCTCTGTGGGCAAAAACTCATTGCCGCTTCAAGTAATTCTGTGCTATTCTTGCCAGCAAACCCGTCCAGTTTTTGGAGGTTGCGTTGAATGTCAGGAGCAGACTGGGCCACAAATGCAGAGTTTACCATGCGCTGGTTTCAGGGTCTTCTGGATCAAACGGGATGTAGAAACGAACGCTTCAGATCTCTCAAGTCGCTGGGCGATTCATCAGGCTTTTGCTGCACAGAAACAGGTTTGCACATGTTGCAGGCTTTGGCAGCTACACAAACACCGTGGAGAGGGCCGAGGTACTGGGTGAGGGCTTCTTCTCCCTGGGTAGTATGGAAGTTCCAGTTTGGTGTGGCCTCGGGAGCCGTGCGTTTGGCCTACGCTGCTGCATCTTGGCTGGCAGGGGCCATGTCTCGAAGGTGTCGCCTGGCCTCGACGATGATTCTGTCCTCGGTGATGAACAGGGTATAGAGCAGCTGACAGCAGTCGTCCCAGGTAGGCATGTGGGTCTGGGATGCAGACTCCACAAGGTCGGTGATCGCTTGGGGCTGTTCAGGACACGATGGAGTGTGTTGCTTCCGGTTGAGGTCAGCTGTGGTAAGAGGTTGGTAATAAAGGGTGACCGGTCTGGGTTGTTCAGAGCCATCTTCTAGGGTGGTGGGTGGAAGTCAGACCTCATGGATTGGTAGATGGGCAGCAGGGGGCTGAGCAGATCTGAGATGTCTGGCCAGGGGTGTCTCTGGAGAAGTGATCTCATTGCTATACAGGACGGTGGGGGAGTGGGGGCCTCGGCTGGAAGCAGTAGGTTCAGGAGAGAGTTGGCAGGACCCGGAGCTGTTGTCAGCGTAGGGGAGACTTTGGAGTGGGTGGAGGCGAGGCTGCTGGCCTGACAGGTGGCAACTTGGAGATGGGGATCCGAGAGGGTCTGGGGCGGCAGTGAATTAGAGGGCGGTGGGCTCTGGCAGAACAGGAGCAGGTAATGGAGGTGCAGATGGTGCTCGGGGACCGAAGGCGGTGGCAGATAGTCCTCCTCAGATGGGCCCTGATGAATCGGCTGTTTTAGGGCTTTAGAAGGGTGGCTGCAGTTCTCGGCCACAAAAACTTGACTCTGTCCCTTCCTACTAGCACAGAATTGAACCCTCTTGGGGAGGACCTGATTTTGGGTGGAAGGAAGACATAGTCTCTTTAAAAGATCAAAGGCTGGGCCAGGGATTTAGCTCTGTGGTGCCGCCTCGAAAGCACAAGGTCCTGAGATCGATCCCAGTACCAAAAAAAAAAAAAGAAGGCTGGAATTTTAATTCCCTGTTGGTAAGGACCTTGCCAATTTTTCCCTATCCCCACAATGTATGGCATGTATCTTTGCTCCCAGTGAATATTCACTAAATACTTAATTATTAACAGGTACTTCGAAAAAGTTACTTAAGTAGCTGATGTGAAATAATCTTGAGACATTCTCAGAACTGCCTGCTGAGCACCCTGGTGCCCCTTCTTACCGAGTTTCCACTTTGGGGGTGCTCTTGGTTGAGCAGGAATGGCTTTGCTGTTTCAGAGGTCAGTGACCTTCAGGGATGTGGCAGTGCTCTTCAGCCAGGACGAGTGGCTGCAGCTGGACCCGGGTCAGAGAAGCCTGTACCGGGAGGTCATGCTGGAGAACTACAGCAACCTGGTCTCTGCGGGTAAGGAGCTGCCTGGAGGAAGAACTTGCTAGAAGAACGCCTGAGAGTGCCCTCTCTGGGTTTAGAGCCTGGAGGTTTCTGCCCTGTTGTGTATCTGGAAAAGCCAAATCTCTGCAAAGTTAAAAGTGCACATTTTTGTTGCTGTGTTCTTCGTGTTAACCTTTTCTTCTTCTGCCCTTCCTCACACCCCACCCCCAGTTAATTGTCCTCCATGAAGCAGACCAATGTTTTGATCCCAGGTTAGATTCTGAAATCACAAAGGACATTCAGATGTTGAAAAATGTAGTGGAGCCACCCTGACTTAGAGGTGTTCATTGCCGGGGCCTGTGCTATTCCTGAGCTAATCCCTGCCCCTCCATCTCCCCCCGAAACCCCCGTGCCCCTCCCTCCGAGTGTCTGTGCTGCCCACCCCACCTCCCTAGGCCGCCCCCTCTGCCTTGGAGGTTCAGCCAAGTGGAGTATGAGTTCTGTGTGGGGCTGCTCTCCGTGCTGTTTATTTAGACCCGGTTTCCTTCTTCGTGAGCAGGGATTCCGGTTGCAGCACCTAAGGTGATTTGCCAGTTGCAGCGAGGAGAAGACCCCTGCACAGAAGAAAGAGAAATGCCTCCAGACGTCTGTCCAGGTGAATGAATGCAACACCAGGAGTGAGCACGGGGAGCCTGTGATGCGCAGGGCAGGAGCAGGCAGGAGCAGGCAGGAGCTGCTGAGATGCTCGGGGCTGGTTGTATTTTAAGCTGCATGGTTTACTGAAACACTTACAAAGACCAAATGACAATGACCTGGTACCCTACTTTCAATTATGGATTGAGTAAAGAAAGGTTTAACCAATGTGCCTTAGACTCAGCTCAAGATAAACCTTTCCGTCTAGGGTTAGAGCTCTGCTCGGGACTTGGACATATTCTAGAACTTCAAGATAAACTGAATCCGTGTATCTTACAGATTTTCATTGTTCTCAGAAGAGTTCTACAAAGGAGGGGGGTGTCACTCAGTGGTAGAGCACTTACCTAGGATGTGTGAAGCTCTTGGTTCAGTTTCCATCGTTCAAAAAAATTTTCTACAGAGACAGTCTAGTCTTCTGGTTGTAGATTATTAAAGGGTATGAGTATGTCTGTGTTTCTCCTCCTGACCTAATGGAATGGGGAGAAGTGATGGCAGGATAGTATGAAAACATTCTTCCTCCAAGGGATGGATTGTTGCAGATGCCTGATTTTTTCAGTTTTTGGTACAGGGGATCGAACTCAGGACCTTGTGCTTGGGAGGCAGGCACAGTGTCACTGAGCTAAACCCCTGGGCCTCCTTGATTTTTTTCAAAATAAATTTTATTCTATCCCCCCACCACGTACAGAAGCTTTGTTTCCATTTTCACTTTTTTTCTTCCTTCCTTTCTCCCTCCCCCTCCCTTGTTCCCCTTCCCATTTGAACCCTTTCTTCCCATTTCCCAGCATCCATTATACATTTCAGTTGTTATTTCCACTTTCAGTTTCTCACACTAGAGAAACAATGTGGTATTTAAACATGTGTGTCCGATTCATTTCACTTAAGAGTATGGTCTCCAGGTCCATCCATTTAGGTATAAATGTCTGAAGCTCGTCTTTCTTTATGGCAGAGTTAGTACTTCATTGTATAAAAAAAACCACATCTTCTTTATCCACTTGTCTGTTGATGGGCACTTGGGCTGTTTCCAGGATTTAGCTATTACACACTGTGCCGCTATAAACATGAGTGTGCATATATTGCTGTGGTATGATGCTGTTAATTCTTTTGGGAAGATCCCCAGCAGGGGAATAGCTGGGTCAAACGGGAACTGTAGTCCTAGTTCTTTGAGGTATCTCCACACTGATTTCCACAGTGGTTGCACCAGTCTGCACTCCCACCAGCAGTGGAGCAGGGTTCCTCTTTCCCCACAGCCCCTCCAGCATTTGTTATTGGTTGATTTCTGTTTGTTTACCTTTTTTTTGGTACCAGGGATTGAACTCAGGACCTTGAGCTTTCGAGGCAGGCAAGGTGCCACTGAGCTAAATTCCCGGCCCTTTTATTGGTTGATTTCTTGATAGGAGCCATTCTTCCTGGAGTAAGGTGGAATCTCAGTGTTGTTTTAAATTTGTATTTCACAAATGACCAGTGATGTTGAACACTTTTGCATATATTTATTTGCTGTTTCTAATTCTTCATCTGAGAAGTATCTTTTTATTTCAGATGCCCATTTTTGTATTGGGTCTTTAAATTTGATTTTTTTGAGTTCATATATTTGAACTCATTGATTTCAATATTGAAATATATTTTTTGAGTGTATATGTTCTAGATAATAGTCCTTTATTGGAATAGCTGGGAAAAATACTTTTCCACTCTGTGGGTTTTCATTCTGTTTGTGGTTTCTTTTGCTGTGTAAAAGCTTTTTCTTTTTCTTTTTGGTACTGGGGATTGAACTTGGGACCTTGTGCTTGCAAGGCAGGCAGCAGAACCATAGAGCTAAATCCCTGGCCCTCAAAAGCTTTTTAATAAGATATTTCCTGTGCGGTCTGAGTTTTGTTCATGAAGCCTTTGCCTACTCCTCTGTCCTCAAGCGTTCTACCTGTTCTCTCTTCCAGCAGATTTAGTGTTTCTGTTTTAATATTTAGATCTTTGATCCATTTTGATTTTAGGTTAGTGTGTGGTGAAAGATACGGGTCTAGTTTTAGTCTTTGGCATGTGGAAAGCCAGTTTTTCCAGCTTCTTCCAGTGAAGGTGTCTGGGTCCTCTGTCAAAGATAAGGTGGCTGAATATGTCTGGAGTTGTTTCTGCATCCTCTAGTCTGTTCCACTGATCCTCAGGTCTGTTCTTTCGCCAGTACTATGCTGTTTTTATCACCATAGGTGCGCCTGATATTTTTTATCTTCTTTATAATTGGAATCTTGAACTTAGATCAGATATTATCTCCTTAGTCATGCCTCAGGACTGTTGTAAATTTAAAAACCTGAATGTCCTCCTTTTAACAGACTGTTCCCCCTTTCACAGACTGTGATATGAAGTTATAATCACATATGAAATCACAAAATATAAGAAAAACAATCCAAATATTTAAAAATTATTACATATGGAGTTTCAGAGGGAAGATGGGAAAAATATAATCAGAGTTGAAATAGGAAGAAAGACAAGTTACCTACTATATTGCCTAGTGTACACAGAGTAAGAAATAATGATAAAGAACCTCATACTATTCAACTTGAGCTTATCACGTGACGTTGTCCTGTGTCCTCATACCTTCTGAATGGCTTGTCCTGAGTCTAACTTTTTTTTTTTGGTACCAGGGATCAAACTCAGGTCCTTGCACTTGCGCAGCAGGCGCTCGAAACCACTGAGCTAAATCCCCAGGCTCTGAGTCTAACTTTACTCAGGAGGTACAGCCTCTTCACTGCCCAACATATTCTGCCACAACACTCCTTCACTTACTTCCTTCTCTTTCCAATATCCCATCTTGTTTTTCTCCAGATTCAAGTCCCACTTTTGAGATCAGATGCTATCAAACCTCTTTTATATACATTGTTGCCAATTTTATTGTCTCACTGATGAATTTGTCTCTTCTAGGAGGCATTAATTCTTCTGGTTCATTTCAGATTTCAAGACTTGGCCTGACATAGAAGCAGTGACTGTCAGACAGGACATTTTTGTTAAAGAAACATCTCATGGAATAATAAGGACCTCTACATATGGTCCTTGGGACATTGACTTTGAAGAATCTGTGAATTCTGAGGGCAAGATAGTACAGGAGCAACAACAGAAACCCCTTAGGCAAATGGCAGCCTCATCCAAGAAAACTATCAGTGAGAATGGAAACCCTACAAGTCTGCAACTGGGGAAGAACTCATTTATAAACACAATTCTTGTTTCACAACAGAGTGTTCCCATAGAGATGGTACCCAATATGTATTTTACCTTTGGGAAAGATTTTACACAGAATTTTGATCTAATGAGATGCTTCCAGATTTACCCAAGAGGAAAACCTTATGTCTGTCATGAGTGTGGGAAGAGCTTCAGCCAGAGTCTTCATCTTCTGGAGCACCAGAGAATCCATACTGGTGAAAAACCCTACAAGTGTAATGAGTGTGGGAAGACCTTCAGCCACCGGTCATCCCTTCTCGCACATCAGAGAATCCACACTGGGGAGAAGCCATACAAGTGTAATGAGTGTCCAAAAGCATTCAGCAGCAGTTCTACCCTCATCAAGCACCTGAGAGTGCACACGGGAGAGAAGCCCTACCGCTGCAGGGAGTGTGGGAAAGCCTTTAGCCAGTGCTCCACGCTCACTGTGCACCAGAGGATTCACACTGGAGAGAAGTTCTATAAATGTGTTGAATGTGAGAAGGCCTTCAACTGTAGAGCAAAGCTTCATAGGCATCAAAGAATCCACACAGGCGAGAAACCGTATAAATGTAGTGAGTGTGGGAAAGGTTACAGTCAGTTTCCATCCCTTGTGGAACACCAGAGACTCCACACTGGAGAACAGCTGTGCCAGTGTTTAGAATGTGGGAGAACCTTCACGCGCATCTCCACCTTTATTGAACATCAGCGAATCCATGCTGGACAGAAACCTCACCAGTGTAATGAATGCGGGAAGACCTTCAACCAGTATTCGTCCTTTAATGAGCATCGGAAAATCCATACTGGGGAAAAGCTTTACACGTGTCAAGAATGTGGCAAAGCCTTTGGCTGCAAATCCAACCTTTATAGGCATCAGAGAATCCACACTGGAGAGAAACCCTATCAGTGTAACCAGTGTGGAAAGGCCTTCAGCCAGTATTCATTCCTAACTGAGCATGAGAGAATCCATACTGGAGAGAAACTCTATAAGTGTATGGAGTGTGGCAAAGCCTACAGTTACAGATCAAACCTTTGTAGACACAAAAAAGTCCACAGTAAAGAGAGACTCTACAAATGGAAGGGATACGGGGACCTTTCATCTGTGGCTGCTCCTCTACTCAGTATCAGGAATTTCTGAGAGGAGATAAGCCTGTGACCTTTACTTTATCTCTCATAACCCAAGGCTTCTCATTAGGCAGTGATCAGGACAATAACAAATACAGCACAAATTCCTAAAAGAGTCAGTCCTTTTTACTTCTACAGGAAAAAAGCTAGTTAATATTAAGACAAGGGCAGTTTATCAGTGAAAATACGAACACTAGTCAGATTTTATAAGCACTGTTAAATCTTAAGGGTTCTAAAAACAGTTTTAAAATTAATAGAAAAATTTTGAAAGGCCTCACTTTGTAGAAAAGCATAAATAATATGTATTTTACCTCAGACTAATCTCTTAAGTGCAAGTTTCAATATGTGAATTTTCTTTTACAAGTAGTCGTTGAATTATTAATGTGAATAAATGTGGGGCCTCATTTTCTAAATTGGCAGGCTGACTTAGGAAGCTCTCCTTTTCATAGATAGAGGAGTTCTTTAAATTTAACCCTTCACGTGGAAATATAAAGCTCTTTGATAAGCTGCCCCTTAAGCAAGATAAATGTGTATACATGTACAGTCATGTGTCAGTGGTAGGGATGTGTGTTAAGGCGTCATTAGGTGCTCTGACTATTGTACAAACATGCGTGCACTTGGATGGTCCAGGTCATCGCTGCATGTGGCCTCTTGATGCCCCCAAGAGATGTGTGTGGCAAACACAAGATGTGGGGCTGCCAGTGAAACGCAGCATAGTGTTTTGTAGTAAGCTTTTTTTTAGTATGTAGAAGGCATATGCTCTGCAGTAATCATAAAACCATAGCCTAGTAAATGCATATACCAGTAACATAGTTGTTTATCACCATTCTCAAGTATGGTGCGCTGTGCTTTTACCTGACTGTCAGCATGGTAGGTCTGACTACGAGCATTACCACACGAGTGGTGCCCTGTGCTGAGACATCGTGACAGCTGTGTCACGATGGCTGTGATGTCACTAGATAATGGGGATTTTTCAGTTCCATTACTGACCAAAACATTGTTACATGGGACATGACTGCACACATACGTGCGTGTTTGTGTCTCTGTGTATGCATATATGTGCACAGAGCTGTGCAAAATTTTTACAACTCCTTGATTTAAAAATGTTATAGTAATTTATAATTTTTAAAATTTTGCCCAAGGGGAGCCACTTCCTTTCCTAAATTCTTAATTTGATGAAGTTCTGTATAGCTGAATAGTGTCTTACAGTATTAGAGAAGGTAAAGTGAAACAGGTGGAAAGACTGTCATCCAAAGACTTTTGTCGTCTGTTGCAAAAGGTAAATATTTGACAGAATGGGATACGTATACACCTGGTAGCTCATTAAAGCCTAGAGAGTTTTTAGTTGAATTATAGCCTTTCATTTTATTAGTGAAGTTGAGTTTGGTGGCACAATTAAGTCTTCACCTCTGTAACTGTGAAAGTTACAGGTTTATTTCCATCCTCAAGTCCCAAGAGTACTATTTGTTTTGTAACCTGGTTAGATACAATTGGAGTAGTTTAACCAGTTGTCTTTTCACCTTTGAGGGTTCCTGGCATTGTAATCTTAATTTACAGTCATACTCCTTTTTCTTATGAGTCTCTTGACTGTACCTGTGTTTATAACAACCAAACACTTAAACCCAGCTAAGGCCAGATGGTGTAGTTGCTTTGAGGTGTTTCCCATTTATAGGGCTGCCGTTTTTTTGGTACTGGGGATTGAACTCAGGACCTCGCGCTTGCCAGGCAGGCACTGTGCCACTGAGCTACGTCCCTGGCCAGGGCTACCTTTTTAAATTATCTATCTTTTAGGAATTGTTATATGTGGCTCTTTTATTGTTAAGCCTTCTATTTATCACTTTAACATTTATCTCCCCACACATGTTTATTTCCTTCAATTCTGTATTTGACTTTCATGGTATCATTTAGAATACTGATCTAATACAATTAGCTAGACCCTTCTGGCTGAGAAAAGTTGTAGAATTAAATTCAAACATTCAGCATAAAATGATTTGTTTTAGCTCATCAGAATACAGTGGTACCTCGGTTCATGAACTTAATTTGCTTTATGATTTTTGGCAAGATAGCTGCCTTTGTGTTTGCCACCTGAAGTGAAGTTTATGAACAGAAGCAAAATTTTGTCAAACACTTTTGATTGAGAACCAAATTGTTTGTAAACAGAAGTATTTGTGAACCGAGGCATTACTATATCATTTTATATATTTAAGTACATTTAGAAGGAAAAATGAAGCTCTTTTTCTTCCCTTTTGTGTGTTTGGGGGGGGGGGGTATTGGGGATCAAACCCAGGGCTTTTGCACTGAACTGAATCTCCAGCCCTTTTTATTTTGATAGAGGGTCTCACAACATCCCTGAGCTGTCCAGGCTGGGCTTGGACTTGCGATCCTCCCATCTCAGCCTCAGAGGGCTGGATTTACAGGGATGTGCCACCATGCCCGGCAGAAAATGAGGCGCTTATGTCTCCATAAGCCTTTTTCTTTTTTCTTTTTTTTTGGTACTGGGGATCGAACTCGGGTCCTTGCACTTGCGCAGCAGATGGCAAAACCACTGAGCTAAATCCCCGGCTAAAATGAGGCTTTTAAATAGATCTCAATACTTAGCATTATACTCAATGGCAGTGAGCCTGCTTAGGACCCAAATTTTGCTTTCTAAATGCCATTCCCCACTAAAAAGGAACCTTGGCTCTTTGAAGAAATGATTGATTCCTTGTTTGGAGTAGGGGAAGCATTTTTTCCATGCTTGGGAAAAAAAAGCAAGATAGAATGTGAGCATTAATGGGTTAATGTCAGAAGGACAGGAGCACATGACTGCGTATATACACACGTGTGTATATGTTCCCATTGGACAAATTTGGACAATTTAAAGAAAAATTAATCACCATAATTGGTTGTAATACACCTAGAAGGGAAAAAAAAAGCTCATAGTGATGAAAACAGACAACAAAGCTCTGTATGAGGTAATTTGAAGAATGCTATCTTTCAAATACAGATGATTTTGAAAAATCATTTCACAACCTTAATTAAATCTAGAAGAAAACGATGGTAAAACTTGTAAGGTAAAAAAAAATTAACGTTGTTTACATGATGTTAAAAGATCAGAGATAGTGATGGCAAAAGATTTGTTTTTATAATGAGATCCATTTAATTGTTTCACTACTTATATGAAAGCATGTAGCTTCCCATGAGATGCAAAATGAAGCATACACAAGCATATATATTGCCCACATGTTTCATGAATATCTAATTAAATCTATGTAAAATTATCTTCCTGTTTATAAGGAATAGAGGAATAAGTTGAGTTACATAGCAAGAAAGTAGAATTAAGTAGACAGTTTAAGACAGTGTATAAGACAACTGACCTAGGCTTTTCAGAAAGCCAATATATTAAATAAGAGGACTCTTCTAGATAAGACACTTGAGATAACCAAATACCAGGAGTGATCTTTCACTAGCTTCTGATTCAGAAAAAAACAAACAGCTATCAGAAATATTTGGGAAAATATTAAGATAGGGTATTAGATAATATGGTGTGTTTAATTTTCTTAGAAATGGTATTAGAGATATAGGATAATGTCCTTATTAATAGATGCATGCAGAAGTTTTTAAGTATGAAAGGTCATATCTGCTAAGAATTTTCAAATATGTAAAATACTACTCTAGTTGATGGACCTTTGTGGTAGATATAGAAATATTCATTCGTCATCCTTTAAACTTGTCTGTATGTTTAAACTTTTAATAAAAATTGAGGCAAAAAGTGACTGCATTAAGTGATGAATATGAAGGTTTCGGTCAGAATTCTCTCTCTACTCAAGAGGGCTCCAGTTTGAGAGCTCCTCCAGGTACTGGCTCCACTTTAAATCAGATGAGTACACTCCACCTTCTCCCGTCCACTGAAAATAGCTACTGCTTGGGAAAGTTGTCTGGGCGCCTGAGAATTCCTGACTGCGAGCAGACTTGATACTGCCTGGCACTTCTGAGGATCCCTGTGAGGAGGACAGAGGTGGTTGACCAAGCACCTCTGCCTTTGAGAGGGGAGCCGTATCCCTGGTCAGAGGAACTGTGGGTTGAAAAATGAAAGAATCCCTATTACTTTACCTCTTTCACTGTCTTCCTGCTGCTTGGACCTGCAGGTGGGTGCATCTATAAAATGTGTACCAAAGAAAAACATAAAGCCTGCTGTTCCTGATCAGAGGGTCAGCAAGATGAAGACTTGGGAGCTGAGAGTATCGGTGTCAAAGAGAAAAGGCCAAGAAAGCGACCTCATGAACTTCTCCATGCAGTCCTGGGCTCACCCCAGGTTTGTACACAGGTGTGACCCTGTCTCAGTGAATGGTGGCCAGTGACAGAACTACTCAGAAGAGGTGCACTGGAGCTCTGACTAAACTAGCCAGGTAAGTTGCCTGCTGAGGAGAAAAAGCTCAACATTTTCCAGAAGAATTAGATACTAATAGTCTCATAATATGCTGAATGTTCAGGATGCACTGCAGAATTAGATAAAATACATAAACCGTGAAAATTTCAAATGTTGGTTTGGGCAAAGACAACACAGACTCCAAGATGATACCTCCTGGAATTATGAAACAACATTGTTTTCATGTGTTTTTACATTTTTCATTGACAGAGGGGTGCAGTTCCATCTTTTATACAGTGTACAATGGTCAAGTTATTGGTATGTCTGTTACCTCAGAAACACTTATTTTCAGGACATTCAAAATCCTCTCTAGTCATTGTGAGATTATAATCACTTGTTGCCAATCATAGTTATCTTACTCTGCTACAGAACATTAGATGGGTGTTACCCCTCCTATCCAGCTGCACACCAAGATGTTAAATATCTACGGAAGTGCTTCAAAAAGCATGACTAAGAAACGGATGAGACTGTCAGGCTCTCAGCAGGAAAGTGAATATAAGAAAGGAACCAAGTGAAATATGTTAGAACGAAAAATAAAACATCAAAAATTAGTAAAAGGACTCAGGTATGATGAGAGTAAACGTGAAGATAATTTGATACATAACAAGGAAAAAATGAGTACGTGATATCGATGCAAGGAAAAGCATTTGACTAAACACTTGACAAAAACTCAGAAGACAGAAAAACAAGACAGCTTAATTCAATGAAGGTCATCTACCAAAACTTCACAACTCATTTAATGTTTGAAAATTCCCTTATCAACCAGATGCTGTTAAAGTAAGGAACAAGTCACAAATAGCCACTCAACACTCCTGTCAGGCATTGTGCTGGAAGTCCTTGGTGATGCAGTCAGGCAAGAAAAAGTGTTTGAATTAGAAAGAAACAAAATGGTCTCTCTTGACAGATGACACGATTATCCACTCCGAAAATTCCAAGAAACCAACAAAAAGCCCCGCCCGTGAAAACAAGCTACCGAGTTTAGCTAGGTCACAAGACAAAAAGTCTGTTTAGGGTTTAGATCTGGAACGTCCCCCAAAAGCCTCACATGTTCAGAGTTGGGGCTTTTGGAAGGTGACCGGATGGGTCATGGGGTTCAATTAGGAACTTGCTGTTAGGAGGCGGGGCCGGGTGGGAGGAGGCGGGGCCGGGTGGGAGGAGGCGGGTCACTGGGCCTTGGCCTAGGAGGGCCCATCTCCCTCCCCAGTCCTCCCTTCTCTCTGCTTCCTGGCTCCCAGGATCTAAGTAGCTTTCTTCATGGCAGGTCTTTCCACCACGCTGTTTCTGCTTGGAGCCAGCCAACCATGATGACATCAAAGAAGAAACAGAAATTACATTGTCAGTTCTTATCAATTTAATCTACAGATGTAATACAATTTCAATAAAGAATTCAATAGCTTTTTTGGGGGTACTGGGAACTGAACTCAGGGCCTTGTGCTACTGCTGAGCACTTGTACTCCTGAGCTACATTCCCAGCCCTGCATTTTTTTTTTTTGGTACAAATGATCTAGTTCCAAAATTTGTGTGGAAGGCAAAAAAAAAAAAAAGCCAAAACTATTTTGAAAAAGTAGAATAAAGTTGAATCAAACTACCCAACTTTTAGGTCTCATTACAAAGCTACACTAATAAAATCTGATATTGGTGAGGGGATAAACATGTAGATCATTGGAACCAAAAGCGAGTCCAGAAATAGACTGGTAGATTTAAGTTTTGTCTTGGAGGTCAGTGTAATACCCTGCCACTGAGTGTGGGCTGGACTTAACAACTCCCCCCCCCCTCTTTCTTTTTTGGTACCGGGGATTGAACTCGGATCCTTGGGCTTGCGCAGCAGGCAGCAAAACCACTGAGTTTAAATCCCCAGCCCAACAACTCACTTCTAATGAATAGAAAACGGTGGAGACAAACGTATGAGACTTAAAAAGACCTGGTTACAAAAAGACTGAATCCTGTGTTGGGTTTGTGCTGTCTCAAACTACGTGGCCTTTGGGAAGCCAGCTGCTGCATCATGACGACATTCAAAACAGCCTATGGAGAACCCCATGTGGTGAGTTACTGAAGCTCACAGCGAACAGCAAGCAAGGAAGTATGATCCTTCAGCAGTCAGCCAAGTGAGCTTGAAGGTTCAGAGAGGACCCACTTTTAAACAAGACTGCAGCCAATGCCAACAGCTGGCCTGCTACCAGTGTGAGACACTGAGCCAGAAACAGCTAAAGGACTCACTGCGAGTTACCTAATGCCCAGACACTATTATTAGCATCCTAAGTTTTGGGGTAATTTGTTATGCAGCAATGGATACTAATACAGAATTTGGTACTTGGAGTGAACTACTGCCATGAGACCTAAAATATGGGAGTGATTTTGGTATGTGGCAGTGATTATAGAGCATGGTAAAATATGCTAATAAAAAAACTAAAGTACTTGGAAGAAATTATAGAACCCTCATGGTCTTGACAAGGCCATGGATAAGGAATTATAGAAGAGTGAGGTAAATATTATTGAAAAGTGAAGGAAGAAATATCCTGTTATGTAATGGCACGCTGTTGAGCAACACTGTCGCCTTCGGTAATGTGAGAAGTGACGCATGCACCCAATGTGATTCACTAGGATATTCCAGCAGTGTTAAAGCTGCCACCTGACTGGTGGTCATATGGCTGTAATCCCAGCACTTAGGAGGCTGAGACAGGAGGATCATTGTGAGTTTGAGGCCAGCCTGGGCTACATAGTAAGTTCAAGGCCCTGTCTGAACAACCAAAACACCAAATAAATTGAATGCAAATGAAAACACAGCATATCAAAATTTATGGAATGTAACTAAAGAAGTATTTATAAGGAAGAAGTTATGGCTG